CTTCTACTCGGGGTTTGACAGTCTCAGTGGCGACCTAGGCCTAATTGGGCCTAGTAGCCACTAGCGTGCAGGGACCCCTGCGGTACTTATTACAGCCTATCGGACCAAGTTTCTTATTCCCCACCCCACTAAACCCCTTCGTAAGTAGCCCCAACGATTTCGCCCAATAATCGGCCCCAACGATTACACCACTCAGCCCAACGATTGCAGCCAATCACAACATTTCCAACGATTTCCCAATCCAGCCTACCTTTACCTTACAATCATTCACACCGTTCTACCCAACCCAGCCAATCACATCATTTCCAACGATTTCCCAATTCAGCCTACCTTTACCTTGCACCTTTACCTTACAATCATTCACAACGTTCTACCCAACCCAGCACACCTCTATCATGCAATCCATCCACCCCTACCTTCACCCTCGCCAATCGTTTAGGACGATCTGCGGCAACAGGTATCTTTTTTTTGTAAACGTAGCTAACGATATCAAAAGCAGACCTTCCCACAATCTATAGCAAACACTCAATCATCTACACCGAAGCAGGCTGGCGCCTTAATCGTCCACGACGATTTCAGCGATGGCATCCAGCCCCGAGCTCTCCGAGCCCCCGTCGTCCCCAGTCGATATCGTTCAGGACGAAATCGGACTCAAGCGCAAGCGAGGCGGCCGACCGAAGAAAGATCAAGCCAAATCGTATCGGACGATTCTCGAGGAGAAGTAAGTCAGAATATTACCCATGTCTGTAATCGTTACTAACGATGTGGTAGGCAGCAGGAGGTGCTCGACGATCATTCCGTTCCCGAGGAAGTCCAGCAGGAGAACGCCCGGTATGTAAACGTTCACGCCGATTACACTATCGTCCCTAACGATTACCAGCAAGATTCAGGCCTGGAATGAGCGGTGGGGACCTGACGCACAGTAAGTCTTTCTACCGCAATCGTTCAGAACGTTCTAACATCAAAACAGGCCCGAGGAGACCGAAGGCATGGAAGGTTTGCGCGGAAGGATGTGGCGTAAGAAACGTTCGTTACCAACGATTCGAATATCGTTTGCACCGATTTGACACTTTACAGATCACCTACCCAAATGCCGAACCTGCGCAGTCGGACGGAAGGCTAATCCCAGCGGCGATAAGGTAAACATCCTCAACGATTTACCATGTTCTATCGTTAACAACGCTTTAGATCCCTATCGGTCTCAACGATATCGATACCTTGCCCTGCGGTTGTCCATGGGAGGAGGCTATGGTTGAGGAATTCCTCTCGATCGTAGGTAACGATTTCCCAAACATTCTGAACGATTCTAACATGTGATTAGAAGAAGTACATTCCCTGCACCCCAAATGGCAATCCCACTGTAAGTTCTATCTTGTCAAACGTCACCAACGATATGCTAATCGTTCTAGATGATCCCGTCCGAGCTGCGCCGAGGTTTCAAAGATTTTCTCTTTAACTTCCTCCACCTCGAGTCAAAGCCCGCGAACGTTAGTACCGATTACAGCTTTCTTTCTTGAACGTTACTAACGATTATAGTTGCTCTCTCGAAATGGCCAGTCCCGCGCTCGCGCTGCTGCCGCTAAGAAGCATGGAACCAAAATCGGTCTCAACGATAACTTTGTCTAATTCGGTGTCCACGACCAATACCCTCTGGTAAAGGGTACGTGCGATAACGTTACAAACGATCGACATGACTGACGACTATTCTCTTCCCCATGATACCCCGTTCCTGCTCAATCGTCTATAACGATCTTCATGATCGTTAGGACCGAAGTAGCAGAAGTTTTGCCCAGTGGGGCGCCAGTTAAATTCCACTGATATTCAAAACATTTGCAACGATTGCTGTGATGTATAATTATGCTAGTGAAGTCTAACGTTTGTAACGATTGCGGTGATGTATTAACTTGCTAGTAAGCTCTAACGTATACAACGTTTGTAGTAATATAGTAATATATTTACTACTTTAATAGTAAACGTATACAACGTTTGTAGTAATACAAATTTACTATGTTAAGAATATATATATATATAACCTGTGTAGTAATATATTTACTACCTTAATAAGAAACGTATACAACGTTTGTAGTAATAAGTATTTACTACTTTAAAGATTAATGTATACAACGTTTGTAGTAATAAATTTACTACCTTAATAGTAAACGTATACAGCGTTAATAGGTAAGCGTTTACTATGTACAAGATGTATAATATATTTAATGTTACACCGTTGAGAACGTTAATAAAGAAAAGAGTAGCATTGTATTATCGTTGTTAGCGTTAAGCGCAAAGACATGTTCGACCACATTGCCGACATAATCGTCCTGGACGAGGTGATGGGTCCATATACTCGTCCCGCCTCATACTTGGATCATCGTTCACACTGATAAGATACTTTACAATCGTCATTGACGTAAACTCTGTTGACCACCCACCCCATTCGCATATGCGTTTTAGTTGCCAACGTTTATCAAGTGAGAAATACTGAACACCACCTCAACGAAATGAGTGGCCAGAGTAGCAGCTACTATCAACGTCAATATCGACAAGATGGTTGCGGAAGTTCTCAATAAACGCTGTTGCTGTCTTGCAATACGTTAGCAACGTTGCTATTCAAACAATACCAACGTATATACTTACAATTGCCTTTGTGTCTCGTAGTTCAGGACGATCAAGAGCGTCAAATCGTCGAAAAAGATGGCCAGCCTGAATCCCCGAGATTGCCAGCCACTCGAGCAACAGGTCTGGAATTGAGAGATGACGTTCACGCCAATTAACGTAAAGAACGAATGGCTTAATCTCTATATACTAGACGTTAACAGAAGTAATCGTATAGAGCGATAGCACAAACCTCCGTTCTGGTGTGTTTTACGGAAGGGGAGAGTAAGCTTAATCGTCCCCTTCTCTTTGTCAACGATCCGCAGCATCCACAGCTCAATTCGTAGACACTCCTCAAGCCGTAGAAGGCATTGGAACGATATCGCATATGCTAGGTGCATCATCAATCGTTGACGATATTGTGCCCAAACAACATGACCGCGCTCGTCAAGTGGCAATCGTTGAGGAAGAGCTTTTTCGTTGTAACCGCCTGGAAATCTGGCCTGGGTATCGTTCCACATGTTTCGCAAATCTTCCTCCTTGACTGCGTAGGCACTCTCAGCCGCTTCACCTGCTTGTACCTAAACGTTGTTAACAATGCCCTCCAAGAACGTTAGAGAACACACCTTTTGACGTTTAATACCCTTCATTAACGTTGACACCGTTGTAGAATAGGATGGATTTCCAGTGCATTTCCCATTCTTCCCCTCTTTCCACTCGCTCATACCGCGCTCCTTTTGATACCCGTAGTACCAGCTAATCGTTGCTCTCATCTTTTGGGCATGAGAGAACGATTGACCACCTTGCGTATCAGCATCTAGCTCATCTCCAATCGCCTCAGACGTTACTAAAGCAGCTCTTGAAGCTGGGGCAGAGTCTTCGTGCGTAGAGGACGCAACAGAATGGGCTGAAGAACGTCGACGACGACGGGACTGGCCTTTCCCTTTCGTTGCTAACGATGTAGTGTCGCATGACTCCCATATCCAGAGAGCAACGAGCTTTGGCATCCAAGGACCAGGATCGTCAAGCTCGCGCTCTAAACCTGGACGTTTTGCCTCAACCCATCGTTTGAAACGTTTCCACTGTCTTAGACTTGTTGTTAACGCTGATAACTACCTTACACAATCGTTGCTAACGCACCCTTCGTAAGCTCTAATCGTAGATTGAGCATGAGACTGCTTCATAGTCGTCTCTAACGATTGAAGCTCCTCCTTCGTAAACACCGATTCCTGCTTAACTCGTTTGAGCTCGTCTTGGTGCTCGGCAGCAACGTTGATCTCATGGCTAAGATCATCTCGGTCAACAGTATCAAGATCGTTGTCATCCTCTAGCTCATCGTCCCCAGCGCTCTGGCCAAGGGTAATCGTGTTTAACACCCCTTCAGGTAAGTCAAACGTTACTGTCTTCTTCTTGCGTGGTGGCATCGTGGAGTACGATAACAATAAGCGTAGAGTACGATAGTCGTGGAGCAAAGATGTCTCTATACTTGTAAACGTGGTGTACGTTCCAAACACCGCGAGAAGCGGGGTAGCGGGGCCTGTATGCATGACCAGGCAAGACCTTTCTAGTGCGTCCCCAACGATTCCGCCTCGCCAATCATCGTCTACCACGAATCCAGCCCACTTGCTATCGTTGATAACGAACACAACAACGTAATGAACGGCAAGACACTGCCTTAACCCGCCAACGTTCTACTCTATTCACCCTTAACGATTGTCTAATATGGTCCGCAACGCTTCAAAGCAGAAGGCATCTGAACGAATTCAGCACTCCCAAGAGCGTAGTGCTCTTAGTGTGCCAAACACCCACAACGTTCCCACTGCCAAAGACCAAGAGTCAGCGTTATACACGCAAGCGTTGTTATTGTGGGCGCAGGAGTATAAAGCTAATGGATTTAGAACGTCTATACAGATAAGAGAGGCGGCTGAGGAGGCAGCAATTGAGCAGGCGCGTCAAAAACGACAACGTGCTTTCCAGCAAGAACGTAGCCAACAATTACAGCTGGCTCCAATACGTCAGGGACGTACTGAAGACCCAGACATCCACGGACTAGAGGATCTCTCTATCCATACGCCCCAACGTCCACAACGCACCCTACCACCACTAGCCTATAACGTTGGCAACGCAGCAGCACCAACGTTACCGCCGTTACGATATTACCAGGCACCTATACCTCTGCAAGTCGACCCATACAACCAGTCTCTCTCTGCACTCGTTGAGAACGTTCAGCCACCCTCTGGTATAGACACCGCCTACCTCCACATCCACCAGCACCGCAACGTTGTACACGATGTGCAGCACGCCACGGCTATACCACCAACGTCTAGAGAGATGGAGGAAATGGTATACGGTCGTTCTCAACGAGAGAACACACAAAGCCATGTCAACGATGCTACCCAACCGAGTAACATCGTTGTAGGCGCTCGCCAGAGGGAAGAGACAAGGACTATCAACGTTGGAGGCGTTACCATAACGTTCAGCGAGGAAGATATCCAGATCCCCCCACCGATTACAAAGCTACCAATCTACGATCTTGAAGCCATGTGGGACGATCCAAAGAGAGCGCTTGTAACGATTAAGGGCCAGCCTCTACCTCTCTCCTTGTAGCCTCTTGTATATGGCAGCGGTCTTGCCTCTAAAACGTGGGATACGTATAAACAGAACTACCATCGGTATAAGGTACGTCTAAGACGATACTCTGCATTGCCTTTGCTAATCTGCATCGTTGTAGACGTATATGGACGAGGTGAAAGACTTGGGTCGAGAGCGGGTATACGAGATGTACAGTGTGCGAGATAAACACGGCGAGATCGTTCGAGACGTTAGAGGACAGCCACAGATACCTGCATTAAAGCCTCTGTTAGCACTGATCAAGAGGAGAAGAGCGGATATCGACCAGAACGATGCCAACGCAGCAAAGGAGCAGCTTAGCAGCGTTGAGTACGATAACCTTGTATCGTACAGCAAGAGTGGAACAAGATTGAGAGGTACACACGTACCAACGATAGCCAAGAAGTATCGGAAACGTCAGGGACGACCTCGACCGTGGGATATAGATGCTAAGGATGTGGTGGAGGATAGTTAGATCGTAGACAGCGTTGCTGCAATCGTTTCCGAAGATTACCTGTTAGCGCCAAGCCCACATCAAGAAAAGTCCACGCGTCTGGAACGTTAATATGCCCCTGAAACGTCAGCACTGTAACGTTTTAGGCGATAAAACAGTCTGAACTGTGATCCTACACGTTAAAGACTGTCAAATTCGCGTTTGAAACGAGCTTCCAACGTTTTTACATACAAATTTAGCCCTTTGGGAAGACTACGTTATCCCAAGGTTTGACAGTCTCTTTGTATATATGTGAAATCGTAGGAGGGCCTGTAGACAACGTTATTATTATATATATATCGTACAGGACGACATTTACAGGCAATTATTTCATAGAAAAGGCAAAAAACAACGTCTAAAACGCGCCAAAAGTGCCCCAATGTGGCCCAGAACGTCAAAAAAATCGTGCGCAATGTGAGAATAGCACTATAACATCTGTAACGATGTATTATTTCTATGTACGGGCGTTGGTAACGATGCTGTATTCTGTGCTGCGATCGTTGGCGACGATGCGAGACCGCTGGCAAACTTTGGTGGGGTGGGCTGTGCGTTGGGTCGTGCGTTGGGGGCGATTTTAGCGCGAAAACAGTCCGACTGTCAAACTTGGGGTTAGGAGCTCTACTTCT